GTGTCACCCTCTGTGCCCTACCTGAGAGCCAATTGCTCACCCCCCACATGATGTGTTTATCCAGCTGTGGGATGGACAGTTTGTCCAGGAGGATCCCGGGAGAGACAGGATCGAAAGTTTTACTGAAATCCAAAAAGATCACATCAACCAGCTTCCCTTGATCAACCAGGTGGGTCACCTTGTCATAGAAGGAAATCAGGCCTGATATAAGAATCTGCAGGGACCTGTGGGGACAATTTTATTCAGCTTTCAAGCTCAGTACTCTAGTAATGAAAGCATTTTCTGAATGTCCTCATGGGAGCAGGCGAGGACAAGCATTTGAATGTGTGTATCTACTGAGCCCTTGGGAACAGCCTGGGGAAAACGGCTGCATTGCTATTATGATTTGCCTCATCATTAAATTCTGTCCAATAATGGAGATTAATCAGGTCTTTAGAAGTAATTTCTTTAAAATTAGCTTAAACTCAGGTGTGAAAGTGAGCAGCCTTGACCCTGGATGCTTTTACATGTTCTACAATGAGCATGACAGCTGAATTATCTCAGGCAGGAAAAAGTCACTGCAGGGAAGTACAGGAAAGATACTATAAAGCTGCCAAGCCCAGGGACTTGTCCCCAACAGCCCTTTGGCCTGAACTGTGGCAATGACCTATGAAAATGCTGGAAATCTGGTGTTTTATTGTTTCCAATAATCTGAAATTTTATAGTACAGCTCTAATTTCTCTGGCCCTCATCCACACTAGTCTGTTGATGAGATTACATTAGATCACACTAAATCTGTTCAGAAGATGGATCTGCATCTCAATTGACATTTCAGCAATTTCAAAAGAGCACCAAAAAGGAAAATCTTTGTATGTTCTTTGTCTGCTAAAAACTCTGGGATGGAGAGAAAGAGCGAGACTGTGAAGTAGTGAAGATTCTTCACCCCATGTAGCTGTTGTGCTGGGTGCCCAGAAAGGGGAGAGCAGACAGGAGGGATCGTGGCACATCTCCTCTCTGTCTGTGTTTTGCTGCTCTGTAGATCTGCACGTCAGACTGTGCCGTTGCCCGCGTGTGGGTTGTGATACACTCAGGATAAAGTGGGCAGAGATCTGCCATTGGCTCCTTCCCACACGTGTGTCATCTGGCAGCTGTGTATATCACAGGGAACACAGCGACCACTCGGCTGCTGAGCAAAGCTGCTTCACTGGAGAGTCAGAGACACTTGCAGTGGGGAAAGCAATGGAAAAGGCAGCCCTTGCTTTTTTGATTCTGACAAGCTCTGAAAACTCTTGGGAGACAGAAACCTGATGGGTGAAGGACTGTGCGGAGAACCAGTAAAGCAGATTTCCAAGGATAAGTGGCAGATAGAAGAACAGTGCTCAAAAAGAAATATTCAGTAGGATTTCTTCATTGGTGCAGAGAGAAAGTGTTTGGGGATCTCTGATATTTCAGCCTCTGAATCAGCTTCCGTGTGGGGTACATGTGGGATTAAAAAAGGACAGCAGAAGGAGAGCTCCTGGGGCAAATCTAACGTGTCCTCAGCACAGGGAGAAGGACCCAATTATCAGCTCTTTTCTCTGGTTTGCAACCATGGGGCAGATTTTCAAAAGGCAAGTGTTCCCTCCTGCAACCACCGGCTTCAGCAGCTGAGCTGGCAGAAGGTGCAGAGGAGTGTGACGAGTGCTGGGGCCCTGCTGCCCCAGCCATGAGCCGGCACACCTGGTTCCCCCTGCAGTATATCCCCAAGCCCTTCTGGAGGGTGGAGAACAACAGCACAACCAACTTCTTCTCTGCACTGTATGGCTTCCCTAACCAGTCCTTCTTGCACAATGACTTGGACCTGGAGGACCTGGGGGACTTTGACAGCGGGGCCAAGTATGAGGGCGAGTCCCAGAGCCGGATGGTGAAGGCACTGCTGATCATCGCCTACTCTGTGATCATCTGCATCTCGCTCTTCGGCAACATCCTGGTGTGCCACGTGGTGATCAAGAGCAAGAGGATGCACTCTGCCACCAGCCTCTTCATCGTCAACCTGGCTGTTGCCGATGTGATGATCACCGTTCTGAACACCCCCTTCACACTGGTGAGCCCCGGCCGGCCGTGCCTGCTGGTGTCTGTGTGTGCCTGTCAGCTGTGTGCAGGAGGATTGAAGGGGCCAGGACTGGGCTGGTAGCCAGTGTCTTCTGTCCCCCTCCCCCTTTTGCCTCCCAGAGAGGCTGCAGTTGTGCTCCCCCTGCCCAACACCCCCCTAGCAAGTGGAGATGGGGGCTCATGCTCCCACCTCATGCTCCATAGCAGGGGTGGCTTTGCTGCAGGCCACCCCGCTCTGTCCTGGCAGGGCACACATGTGGGAGATCTGTTGATGGGGACGAAGTGAGGACTAGTTTGATATGATTAAAATCCAATTAATGGCCTGTTTCCTATGGAAACCACGTGAACAAGGTCAGTCCCTGTGCAACATGTCAGGGAAGTATTTGGGCTGCACTGAGCTGGGTCAGCCAGCACTCCCTCAGCACTACAGACAGTGCTTCCTGGGGCTGATTGTCCTTTCTTTATTTTCAGTGACTAAAAAATACACGGTATAAAAGAACATTAAAGAACAGGTGGGAAGAAGTAAAGATTCGTTTCTTGTCCCACTATTACAGACCATAATCATCACGTAAGCAGGACTCTGCAGCTGGATTTGACCCAGAACTCTGATTCAAAAGCCTCCAAATAGTCCTAAATTCCCCTGCTTCATCCCTGCTCAGCGCTATTCAGAGTGTTCTTCATCCTTCCAAAAGCAGGTCCCAAATTAGCTATTTGAATTCATGCTGATCCTGTTTCTTTGGTGGGATTTCCCTGCCTTGCTTTGATGGGACTTGCACTCTAATCTGTTCAGGGGGAGGCTGGTGCCCTCTTGTGTGCACACCAACAGCCACACACTACGCACGACTAATTAAATATCCATCAGCTCTCTCAGGAATGAGCTTTATATCAGCTCCAGAGAACCAGCATATTGCTCCAGTGCAGGGACAGTCAGTGCTGCGAGAATCATCCCTACAGGGAAATTAATTAGATTAATTGAAAACAGTCTTGACTAATTTTCTGTGTGGACAGATGCTTTGTAGTAAATGTGCTTTACTTCAAATTAGCTTAATCTGCTGAAGAATGACTTACATTAATTTGTAATTAATATTGTGCAGTCAGGAATAACAAGGGAGTGAAGCCATTTGGCACAATCTTCTCTGCAGCAAAGTCATCATCAGTAACACCTCTCTAGGAACAGGATTTCTCTTACTAGTTTTGAAGCCCATGCAGCTCTCAGCATCCGCTTGTTCAGAGATATAAATGTTTTCAAGGAAGCACCCAGTGTGCCCTTCAGAGCCTCACTGAGGAGCAGAGCTAAGGTTTCTTTCTGTGTTCCTGAAGGGCCATGGTACATGGACACGTACATGTGCACACACAAACACACACACAGAGTGCTGCTCAAGCCATTTGTTTGCACAGAGCAGTAAATCTCACCACTGTTTCAAAGCCCATTGCACAGTCATTGTTTCTGCAAGAAAAACTGAGGATAAAGCCCCTACAAAGCCTTGGGAAGCTGTATTAAAACATTTTTTCTGTACCATGTGCCTGGGAAGCCAGTTTGCTGCTCCTCAGGTATCGGTCCTGGTAACGCAATATTGTCTGTTCCTCAGGTGCGGTTTGTGAGCAGCACCTGGGTTTTTGGAAAGCTGATGTGTCACATCAGCAGGTTTGTTCAGTACTGCTCTGTCCATGTCTCTGTGCTGACCCTTGCTGCCATTGCTCTGGACCGGCACCAGGTACGTTGCATTCATCCCCCCTGTGTTTCATAGAAAATAAGGCACTAAATACATGGCTGTTTCCCCCTCAAATCTCAGTACATGGAAAGCTGCACTGACTTGGGACTCAGAGGCTGCAGGGAAGAGCTCCAGCTTTCATGGCAGTCAACAAAACACCCATGTTTTTCACAGTAAGTGTGATGAACAAAGAGGCTGTGGAGTCCCTGTCCTTGGAGATACTGAAAAGCCCGGGAGAGCAGTGCTGGGCAACCTGTAGCATGGTGTAACCAGACCCCACAATAACCTTCTCCCTTCCTTCTGTGCCTGGGCTGTTGGGCTGGTGGGCTCCCTGCCCTCCTCAGCCCCACCGCAGAGCACAGCCCTGACAGTTGGGCAGGAGGATGTGCTGATGCAAACCCCAGCCAGCCCACACGTTCTCTCCACGTGCATTTATTGGAGTCTGGCACTTCTGAGGCTTGCCCCATTCCTTCAGGTTGCCTAAGGCTGGAAGCAGCAAGAGCTGTGTTAGCCCATCCAGTTCAAGGTGAGGAGTTCTCCTCTCCTCACCCAGCCCTGATCCATACGGGCCAGGAAACCTTCCAAGCCAAGCAAGGAGTGCAGATCAAAGAGCTTCCTTAAGCGTACACAGTTCGTAATTTGTGCTTTAGCTGATGAATGCTGAGCACTGGGAGGGCTGATCCAGCACAATGAGCTTTCAGGCAGACCTGGATTTCTTGCAGTCCTGGAGCCACCGAAACATTTGTTACTGAAAAGCAACGTCATGTGATAGAGCTGGATGAAGTTCAAAATAAGACTGGGTTTCACTCAGGGATGGGCTCCATCTGCTGTCAGAGAATCACAGGGACTACTGGAACACAGACCAGCCAGTTCTGTCTTTTTTACCATAAAGACTTTGGCAGTCTGCCTGTTTCACGTGCAACATTACAGCTCCTGAAATCAAAGCATTTTGATAGTGATTTAATTTTAATCAGTAGATTCTCGGTTGATTGCAAGGCATGGCTAGGTATCAAGAAGTGTTTGTTTAACAACTCCATGCATTTCCCAGCCCTTGCACGACCTGAAGTCCTGTAAAATAAGTCTCTCTGCCTTTTAACACTGGAGTCATGTGGAGCTGCCACACTGCAGTGTGAGGCTCAGATAACACAGGTGCTGTAAATGCTCAGAAGTGGTTGTTCTCTGCAGGTGATCATGCACCCTCTCAAGCCACGCATGTCCATGGTGAAAGGAGCGATTTGCATCATCATCATCTGGGTTATGGCCAGCTGCTTCTCGCTGCCTCACGCCATTTATCAGACCCTGACAAGGTTTTATATTGGGTAAGACATTTACATGGTGCTTTTTCTTATATGATGTTTGCAGCTGAATCAAAGCCCCACAGATGCCAAGGCCACACTTCTTCATCCATGTTACTAGAAAGGGTGGTGAAACGGAGAAGTTGTCCTTCCCTTTGCCTGAGCACTGTGTCTCTCATGAAGGGACAATGACAGTTGATGGAATTGCTTCCAGGCTGGTTGATTAGCTGTTTTGGACTCAGAGATTCAACCCTGTAATTTGGGGCAGGCACAGAGGAGAGGGACTACTTGTCAGTAGAGGACACGGATGTCACTGTGGATGATTTCTTTCTTTTCCCAGGGGTGTTTCAGACACCTTCAATGGGGCCTAAGGTCAAACCTAGAGAAAAATTTTCCATTGAAAGTGACACCTACTCATGATACCAAATGAGTTCTGCTCCGTGTACCTGAACTGAAACTTGTCTGAATGTCTGAGGTGTTTGTCCTCAGGTGTGTGCAGCTGGAATTGAGATTTCTTTCTCTCTTTGATCTTCAGAAACAGAACCATCCGAATGGTCTGCCTCCCCAGCTTCCCTCCTCCTGCTGACCTTTTCTGGAAGTATTTGGACTTGACTACGTTTGTTCTCTTGTATGTCCTGCCCTTGCTTGTGATCTCCATCACATACACCATGGTGGCCAAGAAGCTCTGGCTGAGGAATGCCATAGGGGACCTCACCATGGAGCAATACTATGCTCATCAACGCAAGAAGAAGATGACGCTGAAGATGCTGATGGTGGTGGTGGTTGTGTTCGCTGTGTGCTGGTTCCCCCTGAACTGCTACGTGGTGCTGATCTCCTGCAGGGCCATCCACAGCAGCAACACTCTCTACTTTGCTTTTCACTGGTTTGCCATGAGCAGCACCTGTTACAACCCCTTCATCTACTGCTGGCTGAACGAGACCTTCCGCACGGAGCTCAGGGCGCTGCTGTGCGTGTGCCAGCGCAGGGCCACAGCCCAGGGCCACGCTCTGCAGTCCATCTCCCCCCACTGCCAGCATGCCTGGGCTGAGAACTGCCGCTACAAAAGAGGCAGTGCCTGTCAGAAGGCACAGACACCCTCTCAGAGGAACTCTGCAAAGACAGACATATCCAGCGTGCAGCCAACTGTGGCAGAAAGCTGAACCCCTCACCTGACAGCTGGGCAGCAACATGTTGTGACTGCAGAATCGCGGGGGAAATGGGGCTGGAAGGTTCTGTGGAGACCATCTAGTCAACCTTCCTCTCAAGGCACAGGAACTTCAACCTTTGACTGGGTCCTTCAGGACCTCATCCTGTCAGGCATCAAAATTCTCCAGGGATGAACTGCACACGTGAGCTCCAGAATGAGGGGTGTTGAATACATTTTTTTTTTGAACAGTCAGAAAAAAATAAGAGAATTTTTAACAGCACACAAAGCCCTTCGTGATCTAAGCAAACATGGGGAAGCCACACTGGTTATATACACACCACTTGTGCCCACTGTGGTTTGGCTGTTTGGGCTTTAACTTCATAAATTGACATTTCTTAACATAAAATCTAATTTTTTTCACTTTCAATAACACTTTATTTTTTATCAGTCCTCAGGAACTGCATCCTTAGTGGCTTCCCTGCCAGCCTGGCAGCCCTTCCCTGTTGGGTCAGTCTGTCTGTCCCTCCTGGAGTTATCCCATGGGCAGCAACGGCAACCCCTCGGCAGCTGTGGAACCTCGGACCCGTCTTCGTCTGAGATGGAACCAGCCTTGTGCTGGAACAGAGCTGCAGGTTTTCAACCCAAAAGGCAGGAAACAGGAGACATTGGCACTGGCTAAGAGAGCTCCTTTATAAACCTTCACGTACTCCCCACTCAGTCAAACTGAGCGTCTCTGGTAGTGCCCCAGCAGTCGCCTCCAGCACTGAGCCCTGTGTTCTGCTGCTGGGGTGGAGATGGAGCGCTGCCAGCAGCGCTGGGCCTGCTCCGAGTGGTGCCCGCTGAACAGAAGGGAAAGCTGGAATCCCTGGGATGTGGGTGCCTGTCGTTGCTGCTCGGGGGGCTCTGCAGAGCCAGCTCCTGTGTTTCAGAGCAGGGTTTGGGTCACAGGTGAGAGATACTCAGTGGGAGCACGTGGCCAACTTCAACCTGTGGCTGTGAAAATCCACCAAAGTTGTGTTTTTCTCTTTCTCAGAAAGAATAACAAGTTTCTTTGTGTCCATTCAGTCCTGGCTTGGCCTTTATGATGGCAAAGGATTGAGCATCAAAAGACAGTGAAAAGGAAATGAGCTTCATCCTTCCTATGCAAAATAATCCAAACCACACATCTACAGCTGGGCATTTCCATCCAGCCTGGCACTGTGCCACAGCTGCAGGCTTGGGTGAAAGGCTGCTTAAATTTGGAAATCAAGATGCTTTGATGTGTAGAAAAATATGTGACCTGAGAACGTATTTGCATTTCAAAAGAAACTGGGAAGCTGAGGAAAGAGTAGGACCAACACGAATTTTGCTTCTTCCTAAGCTGAGTGTGGGAAGGGAGAGGACAACAGCAGCTGGGACAGGGACAAGGACCTGGTCTGTCTTGTGACACTGCAAACCCCCGTGGCACTGCCAACACTAAGGCTTCAGGTCAGGGCTCCCATCTTAGGCACAGTGATCACTTGTCCTCTGCATCTGCAGGAATTAGTCTGCAGGGGATGTGCCTAGATGGGAGGAAATGGAATTAGAAAAGTCTCTTCAGAGAACAAGCACTCAAGGCTCGAGTATCAGCTGGGATTCACTTGCAGGAAATGTGTTTTACAGACTTTGCCCTGTGGGCTTCACTGTGTGAGCCTTCACTTTGGTTCTGCTGGAGTGGAGTCCTTCCTGGAGCTGTCACTACAGAGGCAGCACCAGAGCCTTTCATTCTGTGTTACAAGTAAATTACAGTATAAACCATATATTACTACTAAGTTGGGTTTTTTACTGTTTGGAAAACTGGGAATTCATGCCATTGCAAATGGCATTTCCCTAATTGTCACGATCTGGAGGTTTTTGTAAACAAGATGTCTCTTGTTAAGAAACCAAACCAATCACAAACCCAAAGAAACATAATGTTATGGTAACTTAGTGAAACTTCTCATTCCAATGTTTTTCTCTTTATACTGGAAAAAATCAATGAGATTAAATAATGCAGTTTGCACGTATATCCCAACACGTCCCCAGAGAACTGCCAAACTCATTACTCTGGGCTTAATAAATCAAACAGAGTCTGTTCTTGCCACTCATCCTTCAGCAGGACAGCACACTGGATCAGTGTCCCTGTGGAAGGATGGATGGTGCAGCCAAGCTCAAACCCCCAGGCTGCCTCAGCAGTGGGCACACATTCCTTGCCTGGCCCAGGTTCTCCAAGAGACAGTTTGCTCCTGGATGGAAAATTGACGTTGTTTCCTCACAGCACATCCCCTGCTGAATCCTTATACCGCAGCACTTTCCTCAGTACCACTCTGCAGTCTGGCAACATAAAACATTGTTTCTTTGAGATGGCTGTTTTTGCAAAAGTCTGGCAAACTTCACCCCCATCACACGCAACCTCTCTCTGAATGCTCTTGCTTTAATATGAGCTCTGTCAAAATTTCTGTGTGGCTGTAATACAATAAGATTTGATCCACCAGTGGTTTTTGGGAGCAGATAAGAGTCAATAAAATACTGGTTCAGGGTCCTCTCTCTCCGATGGCTTTTGTGTAACTTCTGAGTTTTGACAAGGAGATGCTATTCCCTCTTACGAGGGGATTAGCAAGAAAGCATAGACTGCTGCTCCAGCCAGTCTCAAATCCACAACCAAAACTTCTGTCTCCATGTGTTTTGACATCTTTCAGCATGAAAAGCCCTTTGCACAAAGCAGCACTGTGATCACCCAGGCAGGGAGTCAGCCGTGGATGTGCCCTGACTGCAAAGGCTGTTCCATTCCCAAGCACTTCCCTGCAGCTTGTGCAGTCAGTGGCTGGTTCTGATAGCACTCTTTGCCTGGTGCCTCAGTCCACGTAAGAGCATGGGCTTCTCTGAGGTCTCCTTGAGTTTAATACTTATTCTTCAATAAACATTTCAATAAGCAGAAGCACAGCCCGATTGATTCCTTGTGCATTTCTCCCTGGTGCTCCTGCTGGGATCCTCAGCTATCCCCTGTCTCCTTTCCCCTCACTGGGCACCTCCTGCTCTCCCTCGCCTGCTCCCAAGCAAGAACAGAGCAGGAACCACGCACTGCTCAGGCTGCTACAGCTCTGCCACACTTGAAAACTGGTTATCCAAGTCCTATTTGTTTGGGAGGGGCTGCTGGGTAACAATATGTGCACTGTGACTGTGCAGGACTCAGGCTCACTGGGCAAACCTGCAAGCAGGATAGCCAGGGCTTAGACAGGTAACCTGTCTGCTACAGGTAACCTGTCTGCTACCTGACTGAAGCTGCCACATCAATTCCAGCTCCACACCTACCAAAAAGCAGCAACATGAGAAATACAGAGCCGGCAGCTACATTAAAATAACACTTTAGCGTTCAAAGTGTCAGAATCAGGAAAATATTTTATTGTCCTCTCTGAAGAACTATTTCTTACCTCTCCTTCTGAAGAAACTTTCCAAGCAGAATAATGAACTTGCAGCTGTGAATAATTTAACGAGCCCTTATCAGCTTTGTGCAGCTCCAGAGGGGTCACAGACTCCCTTCCTGAGAGGAGTCTGGCATATGTAAGTATTTTAAATCACCAAATACAGTGACTTTAATACAGACACCAAAGGTGAAACACCACATCAGGTAACTGGGTTCACTGCAGTTCAAAGCACTGCAACACTTCTGAATCCAGACAAAACAGCTTTAGTTTGAAAAACAGGGAGATGTAGGGAGGTGTAAATGGAAAGAATGGGAAACACATCCCTCCATGGAGGGTTCCTCTTGCTTTGGCTTTAACTGTGGCAAGAAGACACTGGTGGGTTTGCTCACAGGGCACTCTGCACCCCAACACACAGCGGTGAACACACCAGAGGGACCACCTGAACTGAAACTCGGCTTGGGATTGTTGCTATTGCTGAAGAGCCCAGTGCTTGTTGTGCAGGAGATAAGCTTGCCAGTGGAGTAACTATTAGTGAATTGTGTAACTATTAAGCTGGTAAAACCAATTTACTTTGTTTGCTGCTTTCCTGCTACTCTGGACTTTGGCCTTATTTAAAATTTTTTATCCATTACTCAGGTACAGGAATTGCTTCTTCTTGATAACTTTTCCTTACAAGAAAGGTGTTAACTTGAGCAGTGGCATCATCGGCACAGAGATTGGTCTGTGAGTTGAGGAAAAACGAGCCTGGTGTCCTGCACACCAAAATGAGAAGTTATTCTGTTTTTCATAGAACAACAAACCCTCATGTGTGACATCGGCGCTGACTCCTAAATTGTCCTGGATTCATTTTAATTTTTAATATTCTTCTGACAAGCTGTGGACAAGAGTAAATGGGGTTTGTATTGATATTCACCTCACAGGTAAAGTTCCCACCAGCCACTGAAACCCCTTGGGCTGTGTGTGGGCAAGGGTCTGGGTCTGGGCAGTCACCACAAAAAGATGGGAGAGAGGCTTTAGTCACGGGGACACTGCAGGGACACCAGGATGGAGCTGCTAGCAACTCCTAGGAGGGCCAAGGACCTGGAGGGGCACATGGCATGGGCTGGGTGCCATCCCATTTTTCACCCACTGTAAATCCAAAGGCCAGGAAGAGCAGGGTCTAATTTTCAGCTGGAATGCATCACACTGAGGTCCTGGCATCACTGAAGGTTTTGTGATTCTTTACAAGTAGCATTGCCAACACAGCTTGTTTACTTCATTTATACACCTGTGCTGGCTTGGTTGTTTCACCTCTACCTGTCCATGAAATGCAGGGATTGATGGTTTATTTATTCCTGGTGGTTTGCTTTGCTTTGTGCCGGAATGTTTCAGTCAGGTGTGGAACTGACTTCTCATATGAGAAAGTGCCCTGATCTCTGCCCACTCAAACACCCCTGACCCACTTGCTGTAACTGGGACATAATTCTGTGGGGTTTGCCCTGCAGATCCCAGCTCCCTCGGCTCCTGGTGTTCCCAAGGAGCTCTTCAGTTAAATAGGCATGAGAATACACAAGACTTATCACCACAAGCAGTCTCGGGGAGCCCAGAGCTGAGGTGCCAATAACTAATGATGGAGCTGACCGAGGGTCACCGTAAGCATCAAAACAGCGCCCTTAATCGGAGAGAGTGACACGGGGGAAGGCACGGGGGAGCGGGCTCGGAGCCGAGGGAGGGCAAGGGGGAGCAGGGGGGGCACGGG